CAATTTTATGATTTGGGCCAAGAACCTAGCGAAGGCTGGTCCGAGAGGACAGAGACAAACATATGACCAACGGGTCGATGCGTCTATAAGGACCATGAAGTACCGGAATGGTCCGGAAGATGGATGTATAGGTCCACAGATATCGCCCTGGATTCTTTCTAGGAAATGAAGTGTTTGTTTAGAGATTTTAACTGGTGAAGGCCGAGTGATCAATTTGCCTTGAGAACAAGCTGTGCACATGAGGTGTTGAGGATAAGCTCGGTTTTTTTTTTGAGGGTATGCCCTTGAGAGTTTTGAATTAGTTTACACATCATATTTGCACCGGGATGACCGAGCCGGTCGTGCCAAATAGTATAATCAGTAAACCGGGCTTTGAGAGTGGTATTAGCTTCAATCATACTGACTTTAGCATGGTAAAGTCCAGTAGAGAGCGCGGGTATGGTTTCGAGGATTTGTTTATGGCCGTCTACGGTTTTAGTGACTAGGAGGGATTCTTTGTTCCCTTGACCTTGGGTTTCTATGTGGAAACCATTCTGTCTTATATCCTTGAAGCTCAGAAGATTTCTCTTCGAACTAGGAGAATATAGAGCATCTGGTATTTCAAGTTGTGTGCCATTTGATAGCAACACATAGGCATGGCCATATCCTTCGATAAGGTTTGAGGGACCCGCGATGGTGCTAATATTTGCGGTTTGATAGGTTAGGTTTATGAAGTAACTTTTGTTTCTTAAGATAGTGTGGCTGGATCCACTATCTACGACTATGGTTTCCATTTGCTGGTGTGCTTCATTATGAATAGAAGATAGAATTCAGTATTGAGGAATTCAGAAAATGTGATAAATCATAAAGTAAGGCAGTGTCTGAGAATAAAGGCAAATGGAAAAAAAAAAAAATGAAACAAATCCCAAAATGAAAAAAATAAAGAACAAAATCAAATTGTATCAGAGTTTCAGATGATTGAATTAATCGAGGAGATCAGCTGTTTCATAGTCCATGGGGTCGGTCTGCTCGTTTGTGGTGTTCTCATCATCAAGGAGGTCGTCACCTTCCAGGTTAGCAGCATCGACTGGCTGAGTCATGTTGGCTTCAGCAGCAGCTTTTCCGTACTTCTGGTATAGATCGCAGTGGATCTTGGGGGTGCGACATTGCTTTGTTGGGTGGTTGAACATCCCACATCTGGTACAAGCAGAGTGATCGGGGTTGGTGTGGCGGGTCGGCTTGGTGATGCCTCGACCACGACCAGGACCATAACTGAGGTTAGGTCGGTTGCCGCGACCATGTCCGCGTCCACGTCTTCCACGTCCATGTCCTCGGCCATTACCACGTCCATTACCACGTCCACGGCGGTGATCTGAGGATCTATCGGGTTGAACATGGTAGGACTCTTGACGAGAAGCTGGGACAGGAGCCGATCCCAGGGGCCTCATAGCGCTGTTCCTCATAAGCAGCTGGTTATTCTTCTCAGCGAGGAGAAGACAGGACAACAAGTCTTCGTACAATGTGTGTTTCATTGCACGGTATTGTTGTTGGAGCACAACATTCTCTGTGCTGAATGTGGATAATGTTTTCTCGAGGAGATCATTATCTGTCACATCCTCGCCACAGAGTTTCCGGATGGCAACAATACGAAAGAGTTCGTTGTTGTAATCATCTACGGATTTGTAGTCCTGGAACCGAAAGTTCTTCCAGTCGAAATCTGCCTGAGGCAACTGGACCATTTTCTGATGGTCATATCGCTTTTTCAGCGCTTGCCACAATTCAAGTGGATTCTCAAGAGTGAGATATTGCTGCTTAAGGCTCGGGGCCAGATGATGGCGTATGTGACATATCGCCTGAGACTGTCCCTTACGGGATGCGGTGTTACCGTCGGTAATACACGCATCGAGTTCTTTCGATGCAAGGAACAAGCGCATGTCTAGGGCCCACTCGAGGTAGTTATCTCCGGAGACGTGAAGGGCCTCGAATTCACATTTCTGAATGTTTGACATCTTTTCCACCTTTGGATTTCTGACAGGCTAATGAGAAAATTTTGAATGCTGATGATGAAACTTTCTATTTTGAGAATATTTCTATTTTAGGAAAGTTTCTAAATTTGGAAAGTTTCTAATTTGGGTAATTTTCTAAATGAGGAAAGTTTCTATGTCGGGAAAATTTCTATATGAGGAAAGTTTTTATATGAGGAAACTTTCTATTAGAGGGAACTTTCTCGGAAATAGTAAATTTTAAAGGGTATCAATTTTTGGTAAAAACATAACAAGTAGACAAGTTGGACAATAATGGGGTAGTGATGGCAAAAATTATTTTGTTGTCAAATGTATATCATATACATTTGGACTATATAATAGTGTATAGATTCGATGATATTTTTTGGCATCACATAACCAACCACGTTTATTGGTCACCAA